AAGCGCTTCAGGTCCTCCTCAGTTTCAGCAAGCAGGGTTGTGTTATCTGCATAACACAAATTGTTGTTGGATCTTCCACCAATCTTGACGCCACACCTCTCCTCATAGAGCCCAGCCTCCCGGATGATCTGTTCTGCATACAGGTCGAAAAAGTATGGAGATAGGACACATCCCTGGCATATACCCTTCCCAAATTTGAACCATGCAGTGTTTCCTTGCTCTGTTCTGATGACTGCCTCTTGGTTCAAGTATAAGTTTCTCATTAGCATGATCAAGTGTTCTGGGATTCCCATTCTTCTCAGAGTCAGCCACAGTTTGTTATGGTCCACACCTTCGCATAATCAGTAATATGTATATTATAGTGGTATAGTTTTCTTTTTAATACCTATTTCTAATTCTTCAGTTGTTTCTGTGTCAGTGTTCTAATTCCCTGATTAGTCAATATTGAGGTTAATGAATGAAAAAAAAATATTGGTTTAAAAATAATTGCTCAGTGGAGTCCCATATATTTATCACCTAGTTCAAACATTTACCAGCTCATGATTCCAACCTCCTAGATGATTTTGATGCAGATACCTTGCATTATACCATATTTTCTATAATTAATGATACACTTTTTCAAGCTTGATTTACTCTATGTAACTATGTTGGAACAAAAATTATGTTGGAAAAAATATACTCTAATTTGCTTTAGGCGATGGGTAGGGACTTGGAGTTTTTTTTTTTAAAGTTAATAAGTAGCTAGTTTATTAGAATAGAGGAACCAATAATCAAAATTTGTTTTTATTTTGATATACAGGATCCAGATGTTACATAAAATGGATGTTTTCCCCACTAGATACTGAGTATTAAGTAGAAAATCTAATTAATACAATCTAAGCTGCCATGGAAGAGATACCAGTAAAAGTTGCTGTAAGAATTAGACCTCTGCTCTGCAAAGAAGTGCTTCATAATCATCAAGTGTGTGTGAGAGATATTCCGAACACCCAGCAAATTATCATTGGGAGAGATAGAGTCTTTACTTTTGATTATGTTTTTGGCAAAAGTTCCACTCAGGATGAAGTTTATAACACATGTATAAAGCCATTAGTGTTGTCACTCATTGAGGGCTATAATGCCACAGTTTTTGCCTATGGACAAACTGGATCTGGGAAGACATACACCATTGGAGGAGGCCATGTGGGTAAGATTCTCATGTTTTTTTTCGTTTGAGACATTAGAAAGAAGCTAAAATATGATAATACCTGGCATGAATATGTACACTAAATATTGATGAATGAATAGGATAATCAAATGTAAACATCATCTTTGGAAGATGATCAATAATTGTTTTAAAATACATTACATTGAACAATACAACTTATTATTTTTACTGGAGTAAAGTTAAGGGGAGATAAAACTTTCCTTTTTTTAGAGAACATTCAATTCTTTGTTATTTTAAAATAGAATTGCAGTCAGTGACATGAAACAAAATGTATGCGGATTGTTGAATAGAAAATTGATCTGCTATATAAACCTTTACCCAGTTCACAATAAAAAATTAAAAAAGACCCTAAAGAAACCATAACTGCCGCCCAAGCAGATATATGTACACCCATGTTTATTGAGTCTTTGTTCCCAATAGCAAAGAGCTGGAAACAGAATGGGTAGAGAAGCTCTGGTAGAGTCACACAATGGAATACTATTCAGCATTGAAAAACAAGGAACTCATTAATACAAAATGGGTGACCCTGGAGGACATTATGCTGTGTGAAATATATCTCAGTTACAAAAGGACAAATACTGCATGGTGCCACTGTTGTAAAACAGGACTGACATCGGGGTTGAGGAAAGACAGAGAAGGAGGGGAGGAATGATGTATAATACATTGAAACAGATGAGGAAGAGAACTGTTTAAAAGGGATATATGATTGGGTATTATTGTTATGACAGGAGTCCAGAATCAAGGCTGCACAGTGGAGTGGACTTGGGGGGAAGGATTGCCTAACAATGAGTTTTTCTTTTACTTTTCAAGGAAAAGAGTGACTTGGGGGGGGGGGTGTGGGATGGGCCGGGAGAAAAGTGCAACAATGAATGAATGGCAACCCCAAGTCTCTGTAAGCTTTCATTTAAATGAATAATAAAAAAAAAGTTAAAGAAATGAATTAACATGATCAAATTCTGCATTTAAAACTAATCTAATTTTAAATGTTAAGTGTTCTACAGTCAGGTCTTAGAGCCAAGAGAAGACATCTATTAGATAATTTTGTTGTTGTTGTTGTGTACTATTAAGTCAGATTTGACTCACAGCTGCCCCCCAGTGGATTTTCATAGGCAGTAAATCCCATGGGAGGAGATGACCCATGCTACTCCCGAGTACCAGCTGGTGGATTCAAAGCACGTGCCTTTGAGTTGACAGTGTGATTCTTTAATCAGCATGAATATTTTAAGATACAACTTCTGGCTATAATTCTAGTTGACCTTTGTGAGGAAGTTTGAAACCATCTCTCTTCATTTCTAAGTGAGGAACTCTAGTCCAGAAGAGTGAAAAAATTGTTCAGTTAGGCAGATAGTGAGAGGACTGAGATTGAAAGCCAAGTTCTCCATTGAGCTTGTTTATTGTGTCAGGATTTTCCTATTAAAAGCAAACTTTTTAATAGTGGGTGTATTTATCACTGTTGGAATCATAGCTACTATTCTCTTACCTTTTAAATGGCTCTCAGCCTTTGTTTTAATATTTTTTACATGTGCAGTATGTTGCTTTGAAGAAACATCTATTTACATGCAAAGATTAGGGCAGGGGTTTTGAAGAGTAGATGTGTACTTTGAGGAAGCCCTCTATGGATTAAAATGAAGGAGCCTTAAGTGCCTATTATACTCTTCCCACCCCCAAGTTGGGTTTTATTTTTTTAATATTTTGTTATATTTTTGGTGAAAGTATACACAGCAAAACATATTCCCATTCAACAGTTTTATACATTATGTTCAGTGTTATCAGTTACATTCATCACAATGTGCCTACTACATTCTCAATGTTTCTGCTCTAGTTGTTTTAACTCTATTAACTTAGTCTCACTGTACCCCAAACTTCTCATCTATGCTGTCCATTTGGGCTCACATAGATAAGGTTTTGAAGGCACACAATTATCAAGGGTGATATTCTTTACTTTTTGAGCTAACCAGCTAGCTTAATAGGCCACTTTGGGGACCCCAACATTCACTGTTCCACAAATTAGGAGATTGCAGGTACTAGCTCATTATAAACACAGTTAACCTAAAAGTTTTTTTACTGTAATTTGTAGGGTTTTTTAAAGGATTGCAACCCCTTTATAAACATATATATAACATTTGTCACTCTAGTGATCTGTAGCTTTGTTTTTTGATTGACAACTATTTTACTGACTTAAAAATCCAATATTTGCTTTATCATAATGTCACTGTTGTTAGGTGCCATCAGATTGTCTCTGCATCATCGCCACCCTGTGTACAGCAGACTGAAACCTTGTACTCTCCTGCACTGTCCTCATAATTTCTGCTGAACCTAAGCGCATTATTGCTGTTGCCATGTCTGTCCAACTTGTTGATGGTCTTCTGGTCCTTTGGTGATCCTTTTCCAAGTGTGAAGTCTTTCTTTAAACAAGCTTGAAATAGGTGAGCCTATTTCCAGTATGCACTTCAGTTGCACTTTTCCCGAGACAATTTGCCTGTTCTCTTGGCAGTCCATGGTATATTCAGTACTTTTTGCTGTCACCACAATTCAAAGACATCAGTTCCCAGTCTTTCTTGTTAACTGCCCATCTTTCCCATGCAGAAGAGGCAATTGAAAATATCATAACTTGGGTCAGATGCACATTATTCTTTACACTGATGTCCTTTACCTTTAGTACGTTAAAGAGGTTTTGATAGCAGATTAGCCCAATTCATTATACTTTTAATTTCTTGATTGTTGTTGTTTTGGGTGTTGATTGTGGATCCAAGTAAAATGAAATAATTGACAACTTAAATTATGTCGAAGAGGTCTGTATTTCATCCCATTCAAAAAAATGGGTGATCCAACAGAATTCAGAAATCACCAAACAGTATCTTCACTCTGCTCACAAATAAAATTTTGCTGAAGATTGTTAAAAATCAGAATGACCAAAGATATGTAAGATCAACAGGTAACTGTCAGAAGTTCAAGATGGATTCAGAAGAGGCTGTGGGACAAGGGATATTTTTGGATTGCTGATGTTAGATGGATCTTGGCTGAAAGCAGAAAAAACCAAAAAGATGTTTACTGTTTCTTACTGACTATGCAAAGGCATTTGATTGTTATGAATTAGAATGAGAAGAATGGCTTTCCAAAATACTTAACTATGCCCACTTGAAGAACCAGTGCATGAAAGAAGCAGTTAGTTGTTGGAATAGAACAAGGAAGTTCTAATGATTCAAAATCAAGAAAGGAATGTGTTAGGCTTGTATCCTGTTGTCATGTCTGTTAAGTATGCTGAACTAATATGAAAAGCTGGAAGAAGACTAATGAGCAACATGCATCATGCAGATGACACAACCTTGCTTGCTGAAATCAAAGAGCACTTGATGCACTACTAATGAAGGTCAAAGACTGTGTAAGGATTACATATCGACATCAAGAAAACAGACATCCCCACAACTGAACCAATAGATCACCTCATGTTGAATGGAGAAAATATTGAAATCTTCAATGATTTAATAGTAATAGTTGTTGTTGTTGTTGTGTGCCGTCGAGTCACTTGTGACTCATAGCGACCCTTTGTACAACAGCCCTAAAACCTGCTCTGTCCTGTACCAGTCACACTGTCTCCAGCACACCCACCCCGATTACCCCAGTCACTGAATCAAACCACCTCATAGAGGGTCTTCCCCCTCCTGTGCTGTCCCTCCACTCTCTCAAGCATGATGTCCCTCTCCAAGAACCAGTCCCTCCTTACAACATGTCTAAAGTATGTCAGGCGAAGCCTCAGAATTCTTGCCTTCAAGGAGCAGCCTGGTTTAATGCTCTCCAGATAAACCTGTTTGTTTCCTTAGCGGTCCATGGTACACTCGTACTCTTCTCCAGCACCACAGCTCAAAGGCATCAATTCTCCTTCTATCCTCCCTAGTCCTTGTCCAACTCTCTGATGCATAACAAGTGATTGCAAAGACCATGGCTTGTATCAGACGCACCTTTGTCTCCAGAGTGACACCATTGCTCTTCAGTATTTTGGAGAGGTCCCTAACAGCAGACTTTCCCATCACAATATGTCTTTTAATTTCCTGGCTACTGGTGCCAAGAGTGTTGGCTGTGAAGCCAAACAAACTAAAGCTGTGAACAATCTCAATTTCTTCACCATCCATCCTGATTCTGCCAATTGGTCCAGTGGTGAGAATCTTTGTCTTCTTGATATTAAGCCTCAATCCATATTGAAGGCTGCATTCCTTTGACCCTCTGCAGCAAGCACTTCATGTCCTCAGTTTCAGCAAGCAGGGTTGTGTCATGTGCATAATAACGCAGATTGTTGATAGATCTTCCACCAATCCCGATGCCACACTTTTCATAGAGCCCAGCCTCCTGGATAATCTGTTCTGCATACAGGTTGAAAAGGTATCGAGATAGGACACATCCCTGGCATACACCCTTCCCAATTTTGAACCATGCAGTGTTTCCATGCTCTCTTTTGACAAATGCCTCCTGGTCCAAGTATAGGTTTCATATTAGCACAATCAAGTATTCTGGGATTCCCATTCTTCTCAGAGTCAGCCACAGTTTGTTATGATCCACACGGTCAAATGCCTTTGCATAGTCAATGAAACACAGATAGACATTCCTCTGGTATTCCCTGCTTTCAGCTAAGATCCATCTAACATTAGCTACAATATCCCTAGTACCACGACCCCTTCTAAACCGAGCCTGGACTTCTGGCAGTTCTCTGCTGATGTGCCGTTTCAGTCGTTTTTGGATAATCTTCAGTAGAATCTTGCTTGCATGTGAAATCAATGATATTGTTCTATAGTTTCTACACTCTGTTGGGTCACCCTTCTTTGGAATGGGAACAAATGCAGATCTCTTTCAGTCAGTTGGTCAAGTGGTTGTTCTCCAGATTTCATTACCATTACTTTAGTAATAGTAGCAGTTATAAATGTTCTGAGTTTGGTGACTTAATTATCTTGTTTCTCTTTTTCTCTCATATTTCCGTCCAGTCAGAA